CTCTGCTGGGGCATTGCACTGACCTTCTCTCCCTGTGTGGCCCAAAGCTGGTACTGTGAGTTTTCCAAATCCATGGCTATGATAAGGACTTCCATGTTGTGCCTTGTCCCAACAGGCACATGTGCTGTGCCACCCATGGCATGTCCTGCAGACTGGCTGGCAATCTATTTTTCCAGCATGTGGGAGGCCCACGCCTCTCTGCCATCTGCCACCATTCATCTCTCCTTGCTGCTGAAAACAACCCGAGAAACAACCCTGCTCTGATGAAATTTAATGTAGTAGGAAACCCTCTGAGGACATTTTTCCCAAATAATCTGCTTACTGCTCTGTCACATCTGCTGTCTTCACCCTTCTTACCCCTCCTGCACTTCTGAATCCATTCATTTGCTCCTATCTTGGCTGTAAAGAGTGGACTGCTCAGGTTTGTTTAGGTGGTGACTTCTTTCTCACTGCTCCCAAAACACACAATGAAGGACAACAAAAGATTAGTTCTGCTGCTTTGTTTCTGCATGGTTACTGTTCATTCCAGATAGCAAAGGAGTTCATATTAAAGTTTTCAGCTGTCCACAGGAGGATCATCTGCTGCATCAAGTCTCTGAACATAAAGGCAAATGCAGGGTTCTGCACATCTGGAGTGCTGTGTCCAGTTCTGGGCTCCTCAGGACAAGGAAGACATGGAGCACCTGGAGAGGGTCCAGCAGAGGCTATGAAGATGCTGAGGGGACTGGAACATCTCTCCTATGAGGACAGGCTGAAGGATCTGGGCCTGTTGAATTGACCCTGCATGACACTCAGGGACAGGAGGTATCACATCCATGAACATTTGCCTTTCCAGATACACAAGTAATGAAGCACAGTGAAAGGAACACAGACTGGCTTTGCAGGTCAGCATTATTCAGAGCTCTGGAAAACCACAGGAGCCAGTTCTCATATCAGAATGCATTTTTCTCTGACCTCTTTGGAGCTAAACTGCTGGATCAGGTGGCACCAAACATCCACCTCGCTGGTATCTTTATTCTAATTGTGAATGCCTAGTGAACAGCAGAAGCACAAGGCAATTACGTAAGAACGTTTCCCAGAATACTTCTGCAGCCTTCCACAGCAAAGGTTTTATAACATTTTAGCAGCTTTTGCTTTACCTGAGACACAACAAAGGAAAAAATAACTATTTCCCAGCTATCTGCTGCATAACCAGCCAGGAAAGCAAACAGCTGTAACTCCAAGGTCATGTACAAGATGCTCTTTAAGCTCAGTAAATGGCATGAAAACAATAGAAGTTTGACAAGGACACAGCTTTTGTGTGTTTAATATAAGATCCTGGAAATCCAAAAACTACTGTATAATAGCTTTTGTGTGTTTATTATAAGGTCCTGGAAATCCAAAAACTACTGTATAAGGTTGTTCCATATGAAGTAACACCTGTGCTCCTTAGCAAACAAAATAATAACGTGCCAACCTACTGATCTCCAGAAGACAAAGTAACCTCTGTGTACTTCTCCTCATCAAATATGTTACCCAGGTTCAGTTTCTCCTTATGTCCAGATAGGAATCCTTTCAAATATTCTTTCAAATATTTAAACCAAGAAAACCTGTTCTCACAGACACAACTGCCTGCATCAGAGCTGATTTCCTGGAGCCAACATCAGGTTTTTTTGAAGTCTTTCCCAGCCAATGTTTTCCACCATCTCTCAGCTGCTCCCTGGAATCTGCCCACACTCCCATTTCTCACTCCTCACACATGCTGACTGGACTATAAAAGGGAGGAAAGCACTGCTCCCTAGGGACACCTGATACCACGTTGCCTTTTACAGCACTGCACTTCCTTCAGCCTTTTTTAGGCTTGGTAGGGAAGATCTTCCGCATGAGATGGGTTCAGTGGCTGAAGCAGCACTGAAACACTGGAGACACACACTGAAAAAGTCAAAATTTAATACAAATAAAATGGAAGAGAGTCTTTGGACTCTGAGGGTTCATTTCACCACCACCCAAGGCTGGCATGCAGTTGGTTTACCCTCTGAGTCACTGGTGGCTGTAACTGGGCTTCTTATAAAGTGAATTTTAAGAGCTGATTGTACATCCTTCCTGGCTTCAGCCACAAAAATCTCTCCCTGTCTGGAAACAACCATCCTTACATCCCTAGGCTAGATTAAACCAGCATTTGGAATTCTATTCTAAGTCTGTACCTGTCAGTGAAAGAGATGAACAAGCAAAAATGGTTCTCACTCACTCTGCCCCAGGACCCTGAGCTCACACTCCCTCGATGTCAGTGATGACACACACTGCTGGTGTTTGCTGGATGCCAGAACATACTCATGGAGTGGAACCATCCAGCTATCCACTGCTGGATCCTCACAGAAGCTGGATCTTCATTCCAAACCATTTCCCTCTGCATGCATCACCACCTCAGCTGCTAGAAAAGCTCTGCTCTGTTTAAAAGCAACAGGAGAATGGGAAAATCTCCTGGCATAAAAGAGAGATTCTGTGGTTAATGTCAATCCTATGGGAAGACAAACAGATCCTTCCACACTGCTGACCCTTTCAAAGGAGCTTCTCTACAGTGTGGGCACAGAGTCTTGGGGTCATATGTGTAGGAGATGGATTTGGTTTAAAACAAACAGATCACACTGCTGACCCTTTCAAAGGAGCTTCTCTACAGTGTGGGCACAGAGTCTTGGGGTCATATGTGTAGGAGATGGATTTGGTTTAAACCTCTAGATAAGGCACTCTGGAAGAGGATCCAGAGATTCATGTGTGACATTTCCTCTTGCACAGCATCTTTCCACCATTCTGCTGTTTACAGCAGATCTGGCACAGGGTTTTTTAGCCACAGTTTTAGTCTAAGAGACTTTCCTAGAAGAAATTAAAGCGAAATTCTTCTTGGGAAGTTGTGAAATTGAGTAAGCCTGTGCTAAGTGTCCTGGGTGACTCTGAAGGGGATCCTGCTGATCCTTGGCTTTTCCTGCAAGCTCCCGAGCACTTCCGGATGAACTGGCCATTCTTCCTGCGGATGCTTCCCTTCACCTCCACAATCCTGGCGGATTTTGCAGCTTAGAAAAAGGAGAAAAGAGCAGTAAGAGATGTTTAGTCATCTCATATAGTGAGGCCTCACTCTGCAAAGCAATACACAGGGCAGGTCTGAAGCCCTTTCTTCTTCTCCTCCTCACCATGCAAAGTTCTCCTACCTGTTTCCATGAGCTTTAGCTCTCTGGACAGCTCTTCCTGCATCTTCTTCCTGTAGTCTCCAAACATGGCTCTCATGAGCTGACGTTTCTTCACCAGTGGAGCTTTGTCACTGCGCAGTGTCCTGATTGCCCGGAGAGCCTCCTCAGCTGCAGTGAGGGAGGAACAGCACACAGGTTAAGGCTCCCCACTGGCTCTACCCCTGCATTAGAGCTCTCCTTTACTTGAATGCTTACCCTGCTTTGGAGTGGGTTTCTGTGTCTTCAAGCCAAGTTCCAGCTGTTCCACACACCAGTTCACCTCTCTCTGCAGCTGATCATCTGACTGCTGTCAACATGGGGCACAGAGAGCAAGAGGAAATAAGTCACCCAAAAATTACACCAGCACTTGCTACACAGGATAAAAGGTATCTGCATGAAGTCAGGACTATTTCAAATATCCTGTTCTGGTGATCACTTTGTGAATTTCATGACATTTTCTCTACAGTGTTTTTCATCAGATAACTAAAAGCACTGGGCAAATGTTTAATTGCAATTCATTGCCTCTATTTGATGGATTTAATATGTGACTGTTTTCTGGAGAGCTTTCCTTTGAAAGAAGCTGCTAAATATACTTACAGATGAGAGAAATAAGCATTAACAACAAAACAACAAAAAAACCCTATCCCCAAACCTACACAAAACCATAAGAAGACAACAATGGACAAAGGCAGAAGCTGAGTCTTGTTTCTCAGCTCCTGTGTGCTTGCTCAACCAGAAATGCATGAGGAGAAGGAAACTGAAGCTGACAGTGATGGAGGAAGCCAAGTCCCCATCGAGCAAAGCCAGCTGACTGACTCAGCAGTGGGAGAGGGAAACAGGGCTGCACTCTGGGACTGAAGCAATTCTTAACTGTTATGTACATGTAAACACAAAAGCACTCGTGGTATCTCCTTTCACCTACAACATTCTCCTTCCACAGAACTGGAAGGACTTTACCTCACCTTCCAATCTTCCTAGCCCTCCAGTACTCAGCAGTGTTTATTGGTAGGGCTGGTGGTGAGCAGCCCTTTGGATGGAATGTGCCAGAGGCAGATGAATATTCAGTGTGGCTTCCTCATAGAATATTAAGAAAATGAAGTTTTTGTGCACTTTTGTGTTTCGGTATTGCTCAGCTGGCACTGTTTGCTAGTAATACCTACACCAGTGCTGAAAAGTAAAATAAAATGAAGACCTGGACCTTAGCAGAACAGAAAACCTCAAGGTGTGCCTTAATGGTGTGTTTACACATAACTTGCAACTGGAGTCTGATTTCTGGGCTGTACCCTGCAGCAGGAACCTTCTTGGAAGCACCCCTGAGCTTTACACCAGACCCCTGGCAACACCAGATAGCAGCTCTGCACTTTGGCTTTGCTCCTTGCATTATGTGAGCAATTCATCCTGACTGGCACCATGCAAATCAGGGGTGCAGGGCCTGGTTCAGCACCAGCTGAGGACAGTTATCTCCATGTCTTACATTTATTTTCTTAAGAAAATATGTCATCCAGCTCCTCAGGATCAGCTGTCACAAGCCTAACCATGGAATATTTCAGCACAAGTCTGAAGGACCATGAACTTCCTTTGCACTAGTCAGATTCCTCAGCTTTGTAGCAGAGAAAGCAAACAGCTGCTGGAAGAAGTAAGCAGCAAGCCTGGTGTTTCAGCTTTCATCTCAAGGCACTATGCTAATTGTTAATCTGTGCACAGGGATAAAGTGTCTCTTTAGCTCGAGGGTTTATAAACCATGGGATTCCATCAATATTTAAATACCTGAGAGGTCTTCCCATCCTGATGGGAAGTATCTTTGTTTTTACAGCTGTTAGCTTCTGCCTTCCTGCTGGTCTCAGTTTCTTCTGCCTGCTTTTTACTGACAGGTGGTTTTTGTTTCTTCTTCTTTTTCTTCTTCTGGGCAGCTCCATCTCCTGCTGATTTCCCTGTCACTGACTCACCTGCAGGAGAAGTCTCTGCCTGGGTGACATGGCTTCTATCCCCTTTGGGTGCACTCCCTGCAGTTTGAGTCACCTCAGGTTTCTGCAAGGCTGCAGCCCATGGCAGAGCTGCTGATTCCGCAGGCAGTGAAGGATCTGCTGTGGGCACACTATGGTGGCTTGCTGGAAGTAACTGAAGCTGAGGACAGTCTTCATCTGGAATAGCAAAGTTGAAAGCAAACTTGGGTTCTTGTTCAGAGGCAGAAAAGCTCAAGGCTCCATTCCAGTCCTGCTCAGTGCCTTTGATGTTGGTCTGTACCTGCTCAGCACCACTGTCACCAGGGTCTGCTCCAGGGTCAGTCTCAGCAAGTGTAAAATCAAATTGGAAGCTGCTGCCAGAGGATGTGAACAACTCTGACTTTGCCTCAGGGATTGGGTCAGACTGTTTCACACCACCATCAGCCTGCCCATTGCTTTGCTGTACTTCCACAGCACCAGGTTTCACGCCTAGAAAAGACAAGAATAATGTTTCTATCAATACACTAGTTTCCTATCACAGGGATGCCACTGCAGCTCCCTCTGTAAGGCACGGCCCAGAGAGGTGACTCAATCAAAAGCTGCAACCTAAGGAATCTAAAAGAACTGAATCTCACCATCCTCTGAGGGACAGCTCAAGCTCACCTGCTTTCTTCATGCTCTTCTGACCCTCGGCCATCCTGAGACGATAATCTCCAAGCACATCACTCATCACTTGTTGCTTCTTTGCAAGAGGAGTCTCAGGGGAGCACAGGAGCTTAAGAATGTGCTGAGTCTCCTCTGCTGCACTCAGAAAAACACCAAGAGAGACAAGAAACAGCTTATGGTGGGCCTTAAAATGCACACTGTGGGATGCTGATGACTGAGTTGTCTCTGAACGTGCTCTGTGTTCATACCACCCCTGACTAACCCATGAGTGGCAGGTGATTGAAAGGGAACTCCAAGTGCTTCTAGAAGCTGAAATACTGTGAAATGTTCTTAAAGGGGGAAAAATAAAAATCTTAACTGCTGCTTACAAACAGTCAGAAAGATTGGGAAGCAGGCAGAACCAAACATGCTGTTAGATGGGAAAATGAGAGCATGAGAAAGAATCCAGAAATCAGGGAGAATGGGCATCATAGGAATGAAAGATAAAGCTGCTTCCAGACACACAGTTCTCAAAGTTCAATTCTTTACACTGTTTTGTATTTGGAACAAATCCCAAATAACACAAGAACAGGGAGAGAAGAAAAATACCCAAATCTGCTAAATCAGACCCGAGGCTGGAACATGGCTGTGGGCTGGGAGAGAGGCACATACCTGGTTTTGGGGGTGGGGAGAGGTGGAGATCTGCCTCCAGCTGCGAAATGCACCACTGCAGCTCCTCCTGGGCCACTCCCTGGGGAGCCTTGGACACGAAATGGGGAAGGCAGAAATAAGAGAAGAACAAATCTTTCACCTCCAAAACTCCTTCCACGCCTGAGTTTTCTGCAGCCCTTTCCCCTCTCGCAGGAGGTCGGACCTGGCTTTACCCTGGAGCTGTGCTGTGTGACTTCTCAGTCACACCACAAAAAAACACAGCACAGGGGACACGTGTGCTGCCACACTCCCTGTGTGGAAAGCACCAAATGAGGCCTCTGCACTACAAAAATTACAGACAACACACTCTCACTAGCAGCAAACCCCTCCACTCCTGGCAAGCCAGGACTTCCCACAGATTGTTTCTCCCCTTTTTCTCCTCTCCCCTCTTTTTAATGGAATATTTCTCATTTTTCCTGAAGCTTATCCTATGGCATAACGCCTCCACAGCATGAAATTTAGCACAGCTGAGACAACACAAACAATTCCTCTTCACACTAAACACAAGCCCTCAAGTCCCCTGTGCTGTATATTTTCCTTGTCTAAGCAGGGAGAAGGTCAGGCTTGTGAATCCAGCTGGGAACACACCCCGTTGGCATTAGGAAACGAAAAGAACGTGCAGGATAAGGAGATGAGGAAGGACTGGGAAAACCTTTAAGGAGAACCCGCGGGAGATGGGGCTGGTGAGTAGTATCCTTACCCGCTCCATGCCGCGCTAA